ATGTTATATATGGTAGTGTATATATATATATATATATGTGTGTGTGTGTGTGTGTGTGTGTGCGTGTGGACATGTATGTATGTCTGTATTCATGTATGTATGTATGTAGGTATGTATGTATGGCTGTATATATGTATGTATGTATGGCTGTATGTATGTTTTTATATATGTATATATATATATATATGCATATACATATATTGTGTGTGAGTGTAGATGTATGTTTGATTTGTTGTTGCATCAGGTTTGTACTCAAAAGGTCTTTTCCTATTTTCAAGTCTGTATATTGCACTTCTATTGAAAGTGTGTTTATATGTATGAGTACATCCACGCATGTACCGCTGCTTGTGTATCCTCTATCATGCATGAGCATGTATACATCTGACAATAAGCCTTTCAACACAGCTTGGCACATGTGTGGTTGACTGTATGTTGTTTGTACCTGAATGTCCACCTAATAGCCATACATACCTTATGTTGAATATTACACAATCAAGAATGGCACACATATCCTCATTTCGCTCACACAATTCCTTCATCCATACCCACAATCATGCCAGCCTCTCCATGTCCCATTGTGGGCTTTGGGCCTCGCAGCGGCAGCTGCAGCACTTCAGGAAACATCAAATCACGCGGTACAAGTGCGAGTGTGTCTTCCTTTGGCAACAGCCCACTCACACTAGAGAAGGAGAAGGGCCTGATATCATCTATGATTGGCTCGTTATTCACGCCTTCGCAAGGTCCGTCGTCACTAGGTGTGGATATGCATGTTGAGTGCGTCTATGACTGTATATATGGAACCATTTACCCGTTAGCTGACACATCTGGCGGTGATGAGTAAGTAAATGGTATGAGCTCGCATGCACAGGACAATGAGAAGGACCCGATCCCGTTTACGGCAGATTTAGTATTCATGCCTTCGCTTGGTCTGTCATCGATAGATGCATGTGTGTGTATGTATGTGTGTGTGTGTGTGTGTATGTGTGCGGTTTATTTTTATGTCTGTCATTTCGCCTTCTTGTACAGAATTCTCTCGGCGTATGTCTATAAACGGGAGGTCCTGCCATCGTCCATCTCGTTGTTTACACCATTCCCCGATGTGGCTTTGATAGGTGTGTCTCTGTGAATGTATCCAGTGATCGTCTGTCTATGCATTCGCCATCTTTCATAAGATATTGATTGTACGTCTGAGAGCGGGAGGCTCTGAATTCCTGATCAGCTCGGCATTCAATCTTTCGCCTAGACCCACATGCACACATGCACACATACACATATACACATATACACTCTCACACACATGCACACATGCACACATATACACATACACACATACACATATACACTCACACACACATGCACATATGCACACATGCACACATACACACATACACGTATACACTCACACACACACATGCACTCATACGCACGTACAACGTCGAGGGGTGTTTGTGGCTGTGGGGGGCGGTGTTTCGCCCACTCTTGCATTTTTGTGATACTTTTCATCGATGTGCGTTAAAAAAACATCCAAGTACGTTGGGTTTGCCTATATATGTCACTTTTCGTTGGTGTATTATATAGTCAGGCACGCGATAAACTGGCAATGTTCATGTACAACTGTAGCTATATTATAACTGTGGATACCGTACAGTTAAAAAGTTCACAGCCGTTTAAATGTATACACGTTGCATCACCATCCATCATCTACCGCAGGAAATATGGCCAGTGTGACTACCAATACCACGATCACTAAGGCCGAGGCGGAACAGAACGCGTTGCACAGCTTCAACTTCAGGTAACTATGCTGAAATGTGTATGCATACTTGCCAAATAGTCCCATACATTGATATAGGATGCGAATTGTTGTTCGAGGCATATACGCAAAGCTAAACTATATACCGCAAAGGTATGGATAGGTATGGCCTGTTGCATCTGAGAGTGGGCCCAGAGATAAGAGTGATGGGTGCCATGTTTTTTACGTACTTTGTCTGCATGTATGTGTGGTTGTTTGTGATTATTCATCGAGAATTGTGTGCACGTGTCGTATAGTAGTTAACAGAAAGCCAATTTGGGAACCCCAATTTTGTACTGACGACCACATAGATGGCGAAAAATACCCCCCGATTTGCATTTTGCATTGGTGTTTACGGCACATAGATTCTTATCATACAGACCTATTTAGGTGTGCACGTGCGTGTGTGTATATACACATTGGTATACGTATTAGTATGTACATTTGGTTAGATAAAGGGCTTCACAGTCCTACTCCTCTAACCAACGCGTGGATATCATCTAAAAACTGTAAAGCAATGCATTTACAACTAGCATCACACACGAGGGCGGTTATACTACGCACTTTGTTTGTCCTCTAAAAATGTTCAATGATTTGGGACGACGCATTTGAACCAAGATGAGTGCAAAATTTGTGTGAAGCAAATTAAATACAAGACAACGGTATTTACTCATTGCATGAAAATATGAATTTTTATCATGCAGTTTACATATACTGAATATAAGGAACTATACAACTCATTGATGGTGTTTGTTTTGTTTTGTTTGTTTTTCTCCAAACTACCAAACCCCTCAACAGGCCGAAGGGTTTGCCGCCCAAGAACCCTGAAGAAGTGGAGAAGCAGCGTATCGAGGTAGACCGCATTCACGCCATGCTGATACAGAAAGAGCTGGACGAAGCCAAGAAGATGGAAGCGAGAGAGCATGCCATCATGGTCAATGTGGGCAAATGGAAGGTATGGCAGAGAAGGCGTGAAGGTTCATTCGATGATGCGCGTAACATATCTCACAGCACTCTGTATATATATATATATATATATATATATATATATATATATATATATATATATATATATATATATATATATATATAGTATATATATATTATTATATATATATATATATATATATATATATATATAGTA